CACCTGCTGCATTAATGTCATCAAAATCGCTTTAAGTCAACCAGTAGTCTACGAGATGAATGGCTGTGTCACCTCAAAACCTGTGTTCCAGAGCTATAGACAACCAGTGATTTCTTTAGAATGGATGCAAGGCCATGAGACCTTTAAAGAAACCACAGCTGACTGATCATAACAAAGAAAGGTGCCTTCAATGGGCAGGAAAGCACGAAAACGTTGCACCTAATCTTTTGTGTCATATGACAGCATGTGAAGAAATAAGATGTGTCCTCGACAAAGTTGATAAGTGTGTTCGTTTCTGTCGTAGACCAGAGGAAAGAGACAATAAGGACATTTAATGATGTGGCAGTCCACGAAGGTGACCCTATTAATGTTTGAAGCAGTATTACAGAGGTTGTTTGGAGCAATACTACAAAAAGTGCACCCCCTTGGTGATTCCCAAACATAATTTCAGAGTAAATTGACCTTTTGGACCTCCATCAAGTACCATATGTAAACAGAGTGTTTTGGGGCAACATTCATCTGCAGAATGATCATGCTGTTGCATATGCCAGTGGCATTGTGTTGGATTACATCAGGGCAGGCAATGTGGACCAGCTACCATAGGCACAAAAGTCAGCCAATCAGGCTAATGCAGAGCAAATGTGGGACGACCTTGGTAATGAGATGCGTGACTTTGACCCCAACCTCAAAATTTAGACACGTTACGTACTGTTCAAATTGAGGAATGGGGCCTTATTTCACTTAGAAAGGTCAGATGTTTCATTCAATGCTGGTCCCGTAGGGTTGATGCTCTGATTGCAGCACAAAGAGGACATCCCGCATATAAGTGCTATCATTGGATAGAGGACACTTCAATCTTCATGACCAAATGTTTATTTTGTTTGATCTGTTTTACATGACGATTTGGATCGGGGTGTTTTGAAAATGCAAAAAGTCTCAGCTTACCCCTGTTTAAATAAGAGTAATTTTCTAAATTTAAATGTGAATATTTTTTCTCTAAAAAATGTTGATTTGTAGATGAAATATGTGGTTATAATTTGCCTAGAAAATAAATGTCTGAATCGACTCCAAATAAATATTCTCTTACTCCAAAATTTGAATTCTGAGCTGCCAAATCTAATATTCCATATTTATGAGCAACAGTGTAGTTTTCATAGTTTGCTCCATTCGAAGCACCACTTCGACCACATGTTTGAAAGGCCATTAAAAGACGGACCATTTTAATGACAGGGCCCAAAGGAAGGGGGGGGGGTGTATATATTTCAAGACTGATTGGACTTTGTTATCGTCCTTCAGGAATGAACCAAACTGTGGTTGACTATTTTATTGATTATTTTATATCTGCAAAAATTGGAATGAAATTCATAGTTTTCATATTTTGCTCCACTCGAAACACCACTTCGAACACATTTTTGAAAGGCCATTAAATGACGGACCATTTTAATGACAGGGCCCAAAGGAAGGGGGTGTATATATTTCAAGTCTGATATATTAATTGGAATTTTTTATCGTCCTTCAGTAATGAACCATCTGTGGATGACTATTTTATTGATATTTTATCTGAAAGTCTTTAATGAAGTTCAAAACTGGTCACTGTTTACATTACAATGTAAAATAATTTACTTAGTGAGAATGGTTTACTTGAGAATCTGCTACTGATTGATTATAAATCATATCGTACTTAATACCGTTGATGAATTCGACAACAACATCACCATCATCATCAGTTGAACGTACAATACCACGGATACCAATTGCCTACAATATGTATTATAGATTTTATCACTACAATTTAAAAATTATTGTCTAACGGACTATACTCTTGGTGTTAAATTTCGGATGGTGATCATCCCGTTTCACAACATGAACAACGAAATGCATTAGCATGTTATGTTATTACAGATTTCTTAGGTAAAGGTAACCATCTTCAATATAACTTCTTACTTTTAACATTTCCTCGTTGCATCCCCCATGTCCTTTCTGTTTTTCCTGTAATGTTCGGGCGCCACAGTTGATCATCACTATATCGTATCTACTGAACTTTCCTGATGGTCCACCCTTTTCTGGATCCTTTGATAACAATGCTGGGTTTATCGACCACCTAGAAAATGGCATTGTTTTCTCAGAAAGTCTGCCAACAATTCATTTCAATAGATCGTCCCGATAAATTCTGCCACCTTTTGATTTATTAGAAAAACTAAGATATATTGGCTAAATTACTAAGATGCGAGAAGGTAGTTAACCATTTCGCCATCGGGTAGCTGATTCGGCGGAAATAACATGGCAGGGTATTACAAAATTCCCTCAAACTTGAATATTCATCAGTGTTAGTAGTTCACTTTTCATATTACCCTTATGTATGTGATAGTTATACAGATGAAAATATGTTCAGTAAAAGAAAATATTATCTGCCCAACACAAGAAAAGATATTTCACTTTTTGTGGTTTTACAACATGGGGTCTATGGGGAATCTCCCCGACCTAGAAGTCACATTTTCAAAGAAAATTAAGTTTTCAAAGTTGATAAACTCTTTCCAAAACCACATTTCTAGATGTAATTTTACATGTGGATTCCAAATATGACATCAGTTTTACGAAATTCTGAATTTTAAATGACGTAAATCAAGATTATTTCTACTCGCATCTAGTCTATTGATGGTGTCATTGATTGTAGGTAGACATTTGATCATGCAAAAATAAATTATTGCTACTTTAAAAAAAAACCTACAGCATGACATTATCAAGCTTGCCAGTTTATCAAAGCTTCTCTGATATACCAAAAGGTGGCAGAATTTATCGGAAATATCTATCGATTAATTTTACATGTTCACATCGTATATCCCTTAACGTTGGTCAAGGTTACCCTATTTAAGTCACAATCTAAAGCTTACTTAGATCGCGTATCATTCCCTTTAAAGTCAACTTGAATTTAGACTTTAACTGAATATAAGTCATTCATTAAGTTAAAATCTGATGATATAAAACCACATACTTGCTTCCGTTATCAAAGTTAATTTTCAGGACCTTTGAGAGCCTTTCTAGAACAACTCCTCTTTTCCCAAGACACTGAAAGTGAAATTATCTCTTATACCAGAAGTTTAGTTGGCCGGTCATTTGTGACACAAACTTTGAATTTATAATGTTTCATTGACAGTTCCCGGCAGACACACATATTCGCCGGGGATATGCATGAACCTCAGTTTTTAACTGATGTTTCGGTAGAATGCATGTCCTTCTACATAAGTCAATATATAGTTACATACATGTAGCTATAGTCTAGTCAGTATGGGGGTTTTGACGTTCGCTCGGAGGGATTTTATGGAACATATTTTTTCATGTTGCGAGTATGATTTTACATATTTTTGTAGATTATTAGATCTTCGTTTTTCAGCTTTTCGATTTTGTGGCCATATTACCCCCGATGACTATAATTTGTATCCCTATTGTAATTATTAGGGTTAAATTGTAAATAGAAAACTTCTTTAATATATAAGCAACAATTTGATGTTAAGATTTGCCCACAGAATCAGAATTTGACCGTATATGGGTCCATGACTTATACGATTAATAATAATACCCTGCCATGTTACACAGGTACAGGGGTCTATTTCACAGACTCGAACAAGGGATCGATGGATGTTATAACTTTTAAAATAAGGGAGATACAGGTCACATTTTTTCAAATCCTAAAGAATTTTTGAGTATTGTATAGACTTTCAGAGTTGGTAATTTATTGGTTGCCACGGCAACCAAGGTTTTATTAAAATCCGGACCCCCACATAGACATAAATTAAACAAATTTCTCAAATGCGCACAAACGCTAAAAAATATAACCCAGAATGCCTCGACAAGGGGCAAACTTTAAGAGGAGGTGATCGCATGTTATGTCACAGTAAAACATGTAAATGTAATATATGATAATGGACAATAAAACAGAACATGGCAACCATAAAAATATGTTATTTTTCATAAAACTTGCAATTTTGTGATAGCGCTCTTTCGGTATAAAAAGCAGAAAACTAATGAAAAATGTAAAATTGTAAACTTAATGAACAGAAATCGTAGGCACAGACACGCATGGCATGTGTCTATATAACTGTTTTATGGGTTTCTCTAGTTAATATATGTTCAAACAACTATATGCGTTGCAGAAATTTTGACCCTCTAATACGAAGCTGAAATATGCTTACACTCGACATTTCACTGACCCAGCCGCCATACCCATCTTGTAATTCCTTTGCCTTGCCAAGGTCTTTGGTCATATAAACAACATCTCCAGTTGAAAACTAAAAATACAACAACGATTCAAGACACGAGTGTTGCATCGAAGCAACAATTCTTTAAATCTATAAACCCTTTATCTTTTTGTTTTTGTGGATGTACACTTTGGCTTTACGTTGGCTTTAAAATATTTACATGTATCAGGCAAATAATTTATTTTGAAATAATATACTATATAAAGAAAAACATACACCAAGTCTTAAAATAAAAGAGGAACGTGTGACTTACATCTTCATCGCCCGAAATCTTTGCAAGCAATGCGGCAAGATGGAGATTTGGATTTGGGTCATCATAATCATCGTCATCATCATCAACGACGGCACTTCCAACTTGCTAAAATGAATTAAAGGATTGATTACCTGATTACAATAAGTCATGATTTTTTACTATAATTAATTTTTCAAAGTAACTTTTTGTGGACGGTTTTAAGATTTTTCAGTATGGGTATCTAGTGGTTCAAATTTATAGAGAATTCAAAATTGTTTGTACGTCTATACAGTAAGTAATTTGTGAGTTGTAAGTTATAAGAAATATAAGTCGTAAAAAAGGTACGCCTACCTAATCATGGGAAAATAATAAGTGCATAGCATTTGTATATACGAGTACACGTTTAAATTGAGAAGTACGTTATAATATCAAAAAATATATCACACCTTTTCCTCTGCCTCCTGTTGTTTTAGTTTTTGTTTAACCATTGCTCGTATAATTTGGTACCCAAGCCCCTCATGCATGGCATTCTCGGAATCGGACACCTCGGGCGCATCTTTATTAGGAAATAACAATTTAAATCGAGCATAGATGATTATGGCCTGTTAGTATATAATTTGACTATTTGAATTTCGAGAATTCGTTATTGATTCTTTCCAGTTTTTCATGTATTGTTTTTTTCATGAATATCCCCATTCCCAATAAGATTGTATTTCCATATAATAGCTATTAGATATACATGTGTTCCTCGTTATGAGATTTGTCGAATTATTGTTTTTTTCATGAATATCCCCATTCCCAATAAGATTGTATTTCCATATAATAGCTATTAGATATACATGTGTTCCTCGTTATGAGATTTGTCGAATTAATGTTATTTTTACTGGTTTAAAGCTAGTGATAATAACTGCTGAGCCTGTTGGCGAGTGTAGGTTGAGGAGGATCTCTTTAAATCACATTCAAAAAATTGTATATGAAAGTTGTTAAACTAAATTGATAAGTATATATGCCCACGCCCTAACCAACTGAACCTCGGCTAAGCGTTGATAACATACCCTGTGTCCTTGGTTGTGGTTGTGGTTGCGGTGCGCGTCGTCGCCGGGCCTTTGGTTGTCCTTCCGCCGGAATGCCCTTTTCCACCGAGGCTAAATGAACGTTATACAAAAACGATAACTCTAAATCTCTAGGTGGATGTGCCTTACAAGTAAATCATTATCGCCAGTAGCCTTTTTGAATTTTCATAATCAGTATTATTGTATTAATTTTTATTGTAGTTTTATTTTATGTAGTTGAGTTGCCAATAATGTTTGCTTCGCCAGCTTTGTAAAAAAAACTTTGTTGTGAATTTTACTATGATAATAAAAAAAGTTCATTATTGTTACCTCCACTATTAATAAATCTAAACTACGAGATTCAAGAATCCATCAAAATAAAACAGTTTCACAACAATTGGAGTGCACCATGTTTTGGTCGTCCTACATAATTAATGTACTACAGAATATGATATTCATTGAGTCGTAAGAATACATATACTGAAATGTGTATTATACTCATCTTGATTGTATGTTACACGATTATTCTTATTCTTTATTTAAACATTCTGTAACTATAGTAACAGGTTCATTAAAATGTTAACTTAATAAACCATTTTATTACCAAACATCCGATCCATTTCTTTCTTCACTTCACTAGAAGAAATTCTATATTGGGCAGTAGCTCCGACCATTGTATGTATAAGTCGTTTAACATCTTTGACAATTTGAGGATCACGATCTGCTATTGGTGCTATCTTTACATTGGATCCAGGTTGAGCTAGAAGCGCCCCTATCGGCAACGTTGTCATTGTAGGACTGACAGCTTTAAGTTCAGGATTACACATATATGTACATTGTATGTGACGTATAAAAAGTGCGATATACTGTATATATAGAGGTTATTTAATGGGAGATTTTTAATGCAGGGTATATCTGAGGGAAATACAATATATCTTTTATTTTATCAAGATAATCATTAAACTTTCATTTGAATAAGTTTTTTATGTGTTTTCTAAAGCAATATATAAAAGTTAAAAAACATTTACTAATTAAAATTGTGACCATTTAAAAGATGACCATTATATTGATGATGTGTAAATTTTTCCCCAAAAATTGATGACTGGTTTAAAAAAAAAATGGGTCCAATCCTTTCTTATTAGTGTAATCAGCACCAGACAAATGATTACTATCTTACACACAAAAACAACAATATATAATATCAAATTTTTTTAACGTGTACAACTTTTCAACCGATATAATAGGGGTTGATTGTGGGGATGGAGGCCAACTGCTCGAAAAAAGATCAGAACTTGTTACTACTCTGCAAAAGTTTTTATTAGCTGAAAGCTTCCTCCAAGACATCCCCGAACTAAAAATGTTGTCAAAGTGAGTAAATGCCATTTGTTGAGAATTCTGTCTTTGTCCCTAGAGTAAATTCAATTTTTACTCATGTACTAGTATCTCATGAAGTACCCTATATTCAATATCATATAACAGCAGCGGTGTACAAAATACCTGGTAAAGGAAGAATCAAGCCCTTGTTCTTTTCAGAATCTAGTATTCCACTATAGATCAGGCCAAGGGAAAACACATCGACACTTGACGTATATTTTTCTCTTTTGAAAAGTTCTGGCGCCGCGAAGCAAGGTGTCCCAAGTGACGTACTCATCATAAATGTCTTCATTGAATTGACTTTGTCATCTGCTAGTTTTGATATTCCAAAATCTGTCAGCTTTAAACAACAAAGATATTTTCTCACATATACACAATATAAACTGTACAGGTTAACCTAAAGATGTTATCATCTGAGAGGCCTGTTTTTTAAATTTTAGAATTGCTACTGTGATCGTGTTTCTTTTTTCACTTTAATTCTTATATAACCTCAGACGTTTCGACGCTATGCTCATATTACATGTCAAGAGTTGCTCATTATATGAGCTGCTTAGATAAACCTGGCATATATTGTCATCATTGAAACCTTTACTGAGAAGCAAAATAAGCACCTTGGTAGACTATGTAATCACTGGCGGATCTGGGGGGCTGCCCCCTGGGCGTAAAAAGGCCAAATTCAATTTCAAAATTTGGGCCCACTTTTGGGTTTTTGGGGCCCAAAAGTTTTTTCCGCGCTAGCGCGGAAGTTTTTTTCAGTGACCTGAAATTTGCCCCCACCCCCGTGTTGGTTCCCAGATCCGCCCCTGGTAATATATATTACTGTACCTTCAAGACTGCTACTCCAGTTTGATAACTTATCAACGTATTTCCTGGTTTTAAATCACGGTGGACTAGTTTGGAATCATGGAGATGTTTTACCCCATTGGCCAGTTGATGCATGAAATCCACTTTTACAGCAATATCGAGTTTTCCTTCGACTTTCTTAAAGTAATTTTCAAGATCGCCACCATCGCAAAATTCCATTACGAGCCAAAATGACTTCTTTAAAAAATGGAAATCATGGAATTTCACCACGTTAGCATGATCGGTCAACTTTTGGAGGATTTTAATTTCTTCCATTCCATCCATTGTTTCTTCCATCGAGTCACTTGTAATCTGTTTAATAGCAACTGGAGTGCCATCTTTCCGTTCGCCTCTAAAATGAACGAATTCACTTAATGTATTAACCATGAGTACAGGGTGTTAGCAGCCAGTACGAATACTTTATATCACTTATTGCTTCCCATACTGCCTGCTATCAAAGATAAATGATTCATGATACATTTAAGCTTACACTGTACCTTTCAACTGTAAATTTATTTTGAATTGACTATTGAACTATTAATACAAGAGGTATTGCACTTGAGCACATGTCAATGTGCGGTTTTGGCATATATTAGCTACCATTCGCAAATTGAACCGTTGGCTGTTGGTTTAACATATACTATTTTATTTTCTTGTACAATATACTAAATGAGACTGACAAATGAGATAAGCAATTCTCTCGTTTCTTATTTCTTAGGCCCCGCGCAAGTATGTTTTTATCATTAATTTACTATTGTTCATGACTTTAAATATTATTCTAGAGATGTTTAAATAAAGTTGCCAACTCTTTATTTCTCAACTCTTCAAATTTCCAGCCATTTGCATGACAATTTCTAATCACCTAATATTCCACAATACAACACAGTGTAAAATACAAATGTGAAAATTGAGCAAAGGATAAAACAACAACAATAAAACAAAAACAAAATATATTTAATGTTCGTGCCACTTAAGTCTTTTAGTATATTAAAAATTTGCAACTTAACTGACATCAAGGTGCAATGCGCAAAGATTTAAAAAAAATAAAAAAAAATTATACAAGCAAATATTACCTCAGTATGCTTACCTTTTAAAACAAACCAATGTTGATTGCTTGACAAGGTTGAAAAGAAGAATACATTATGTTTAAACGTCACTGTACCATTGGTTTCTATGAGAACTCAAATTTTAAATTGCGTTTTTTCCTGAATCACTTTAAAGCATAAATGAGTTCATTTCTCGCTTATATCTCAACCAATTTTCTAAAAAAAAATATTATTTATTTAAAATCATATTAACATATTTACATGATAAAGACACCCCAGGGGGTGTATGGCTTATCACAAGCTAGAACATTTTAAAATTGCATATCATAAAGTTGTAATTCTTAATAAATTGTTTTAAATGTAGGTGCATATACTCTTGAATTTACAATGTGTCATCAAAATTAAAATCAAGTAAGCCAAGCTGGTAAACAGTATAATTAAAATGTTTAAAAGGATATAGTTGAAAGATATGAAATTGATTTATGGATACCGGTGCATCTGTTTAAAGGTAGTACAGAGTACTAATCATAGAGACTAATAACGCGTCTTTTAAAAGCACACTTAAGTCTGAAAGGTTATGGAATTGTTGATGTTATCTGGAGCTGAATTTCAGATTAGTGCCATTGAGTCTTTATGCTTCTTTTGCCATAGTTAGTTCTAAATTTGAAAATATGAACATTGCTAGTCTTCCTTGTGTTGTAGTCATGTATGCGATAATTTGCTTGAAAATAATTACAAAATAAATCATTAGGAAAATTGTCTGGACGTTTGATGCATTTTTAAGTAAAGGTGAGAGCATTGAGTTTGTAAGGTGAGGATGGTGCTTTATTATATTCACTATAAGAAGCTGAACGGACAGTTCTAGGGTCAAAGAGTAGATTCTCAAATGATGTTCTTCCAAATAGTCATCTAAGTGGAGAAAAAAGGGGAGATGCACCATAAGATTTATATCATTTTCAGCCATTGTCAAAGTTTAAGTTAATTATCATGCTGTTGTTGTATCTACCAGTTTTTTGGCAAAAATATTGAGTCTATATATTTTACCAATATGCACAGGTTATCACCTATGATAAAGTCAAGTGTCAAAGTAGGAATTCACCAATAAACACAAAATACTAAACACAAAATATGTATACATGTAATATTCAGTTAAACAATATGTACAGGTAAAGTTACAGCATCTTGTTGTAGTAATATGTCCATTCTTTCGACAAAAAAACATGTGAGGATGAATAGTATACATCGGCTAATTAAAAATAGTTGTGACCTCTAAAATTTAGTTTTAATGAATTCACGATTTTCCGAGTAAAAAGTTTTTCAAAAACCACTTCACACCCGGTGATCGTGAAAATGGGACGGAGGGGGGAGCAAGCAATTTCTGGTAGAAAAATGAACAAATCTGCAAAAAATATTTTTTCGTGGCGTTGCGCCTTTTTAATAGATCTTATACCTAAGAAGAATCGGCTAAAAAAAATTCGTAGAATACGTGACATATTTTACCATACCGTGCGCCTATTTGTTTAGCAGTTAAATCATAAACCTTTTCTTGAAAAAATATTTTTTGCAGATTTGTTCATTTTTCTACCAGAAATTGCTTGCTCCCCCCCCCCTCCGTCCCATTTTCACGATCACCGGGTGTGCACTTGTTGAAACTAAAAAACGTTCGGTTAGACTACAATATACAAGTGAAATCTTTATATGGGATCTTTGACCATGAAAAGGGTTACTCCCCGATCGCAGATTAATAGTGGTCTCAATAGTGAGAAACTATGCAAGGTCAAAGCCGGTATGATGATAAATTCTTAGAAAAGTGGTGATAAATTCAAAAACATATACAACCGCTTGATTTATACCGTTGTATTAACGCGCAAATCATTACGCTCCTACTCAAAACACTTATACCATGTCACATTTGCCCTACGGCGAGTTCTAGAAGGCAGCTGTTCCAAAAATGATATGGTCGCCGTACTGCGTATCCCAGTTTTTTTTAGCAGACCGTTCGATGTACAAATAAGACAAGTCTTAGGCATGTCATTGCGTCAGATTGACCGTTCAGTCACCCTGTGGTCTAGTGATGACCGTCCCTCTTCCCTTGTTTCACTCTTAAGATTACAACAAATAATACCTTGCTTATTTAAGCTTCGTAAAGACGAGTCATACATTTTTGTTGATAATGGATATTTGCGTGGGTATCAAACTCAATTATTTTATAAATTCAATTACGTGATTAAATTTACATGTATGTGCATGGTGGTTTTCGTCTATTTTGTTTTCAAGTTCATACATCACTGTGATACATGTGAAACTTGAAATAGTAAGAGCTCTTTTTGTAACCAGGGAACAAGCAAAGAAGCACCTTTCAGACCAAAATAGTTTTATATGTGCTCAGTCCCGTCCAAAATTATCGTTATTTTCAAACAATTTCGTTTCGAGAGTCAAATTACGACTCCGAGTACAAGGGACAAGGGGCGATCAACAATTAACGCAAGAAGAGCAATATCTCGTGAAATAATTAAGTATTTATAGACTTTTGAACCCCTCACTACCTTCGGTCGTTTGGGGGTACAGAAAACTGGGGGTGTATTCGACTATAATAACACCTGTTATGAGGTCTATATTACGATTCGAACATGAAAACTCACCAAAATGTTTCGAATATTCATTATGGTCCGCCATAACCACAGACCGCTGCTATGACGTCACATATTACTTGTATTACCAGGGGCACTACCGTTCGCGAATATACCCCGGTTGAAATGTTGACTTTGTTCACAGTTTATAGAAGGCGTGAACGCAGTCATGTTCGAATTGAAATTAGAACACCAAACTTTGACATAGTATCACTAAACATTCATCATTATTTCTACAAAATCTGATTCACAAACATAACTTTTTTCTAGAGACATGGTTGGCATTAGCAATTTAATTCGACAGATAAACTTTTCTTTGATTTTAGTTGACAAGTCCTGAAAATACTTTTTGCGTAAGGACCTACTATTTATCTAGACACGCCCTTTAAGATGAATTTACAGTAATTAATTAATCATACTTAAACCTGTACCTGTACACTGTGCCATATTCCCCTTGTCCAAGTTTCGTAAATAAATCAACTGTACAATTCGCGCTGATCCTCCATTTACCAACTTCTTCAGGTTGTCCTGGCTCGGCCATTTTCACGATGAGTGTCTCTCAAACGAATCTATCGAATGACGGTCATGTAATGTAGACGTTTATGTAGTTCATGTAATCACTAATGGCGGACGGAAGTATTTTTCTATTTCATTTAGTCGGCTTTGACGTCAGAGTAGTTTCATGCAAAATGCACAATCACAAATATGGTGACACAATTGTGACATCATTGTTGCAACTTGCAAATTGTTGACATATTTTACTTACATCGGTATGAACTGAAATTAGATTGCTTGTTTTCTTTTGAAATGGTTAATTTCAGATTCTGAGTTGTATTAAAGGGAGATGATTTTTTCCCTTCGTCAGCTAATCGAAGCAAAACTTAACTTGCTGTATATGCCAAAAACATCATGTACCTGTCATTGACCAATTAAGTATCCAATTTGGCCTATATCGAATTTGGGCTTTTTGGTTCAAAATCTAAAACTTATCCTATAAAGTCATACATGTAGCATTGCCACCCTATCATGTATATATTTTGTTCGTTATGAAAAGTTACATAAGATTGCAAAGTTTCAAAATCAATCAAGGTGTGTCCTGATAAAAAATGATAAAACTAAAAAGGATACAGTTTATTTTTAAGTTTGCGGGTACGAGGTAATTTAAGCATTTTTAAAGTATTTCTGGACCCAGTTCGACGATCTGTTCACTTAGTCCGTTGTCCATTTTTAGGGATAAAATGTGGTACCACATGATCCCTGGCATAATTAAGCATAATTAAGCCACTGTACGAATTCTGTCAATATAACTTTGTGAATAACTGTCACAGACATGTGGACTGAACTCTGCCATGATGACAACTGCTAGAAATGTGCAATACGGAAACTAAATTTTTCATTTAAGTTGCCCTCGAAATGACCAGAAATTCTAACTACTATGATACATTGTATCTTTTTTCAAGGACACCCTTGGATTCTGCTGAAATGTTGCAATCCTATGTAACTTTCTATGAGAAACAGGAATGATGTATAACACGGGTGGCAATGCTACAAATATGATTTTTAGAGGGGGTGCATACGTATGAAACACTCTGTACATTGATTATTTATACCTTGAATCATACTTTCGGTATTTGGGGTTTGTAGATCCTTGTAACTAGTAATGCACGTAGATTTAC